ATATTGAAGTAAGTATAATAAGGGACTGTTTCCAAAATTGGAAAGAAGTGAGCGGGGCCACAATGTTTGATTCAGTACATGAACGATATCTCAGCAAATAGAAAAGATAGGAGGTTCTTATTTTATATTCTAGCTTGACGATATTGGTAATTTGAGTTCCTAATTCGTACAAAACTATAGACTTAGTATCTTGACATCACAAACATCTAATTTGAACCAGTGCTGCATTCAACATACCATGTGACACACAAAAATCAATGTTTAACTGTGTTTTTTTTTAATATTTACTTTTAAATTAAGAAATTGAATAATGTACAGTACTAACATTTGAATTATGATCTACAGTATGATACCAAACTTACTGACATAAATTCATGAAATAGTAGTTCAGTAAAATTTTGAATGCGAGTCAACAAACACAATGACATGGCCTTTGACCCGTCACCTGTCTGGAAAAGGTTAATCAAACTTTCCTATTTCAATTTAATGGTCTGGCTTTGCCCAAGTATTTTATAAACTAGGCTGCAGGTTTTGAGATATGATGTAGCTGAATGCTTTTCACACATTCAGGTGTGATGTGTTATAAAAAAGACAGTTAATCTTGACTCTTATTATTCATTTTGAAGAGCCAAACAAAGCCCTTGTGGGTGGGGATGCTTTCCTTGGTTACCTTCCATCTTGTAAGTAGTTTGAAATTAAGAATTCATTTAATCCTCATGCACATATAGTGCCTTTGAGGTTGAAAATTCCAGTTGTAGTTTTATAATGATTAAAATTTCAAATCATGTTGAACTTTTGATAATTATTTATCTAAAATAAATAAGAATTTTTTTTGCATTTGCAAATGTGATTTCACTGATGCTATTATTACAGTGAGACAAGCTAAACAAAATAATTTTTTAAAATTTACTTTGTACTGATAACTTGTACAATTTTTTAAAACTCTGAATATGAAATAGAGCTGCAAGATATGTGTGCGTGTAAAACTAGAAGTTGGATTATATAAATTTGTATGTTTCCCACTCTATCATTTGAGTCACCACTTGTCACTGAGTTATACTGGTTTCAGGGAATTACACACCTTCTTAAGAATCTCTGGACAAGAGTGAATTGAAAAAGTAAGACTAAGGTTTCTTATAGTTGGAAGTGTATATTATGTACATATTGTATTTGTTTTGTATTCACCACAGTTACTCATGAAGGGTGGAATTCCTTAAAACTGATATTACTCTGTGACAATGGTGAGTTGAATAACAGATTGGGCTTTATATTTTTTTTGAATATTAAACATCTTGTCTGCTGAATAATTTGGAAGGATAAATCAGTGGCATCAATCCTATATGTTTTTCAAATCTGGTGACTAAAAGACAAAAAACAACAGATGTATAAAAAGTGGATTGTTTCTTTTCTATTGTCATCCTTTACTGTTAGAAGTTAGAGCTGTTTCACCAATAATGTGCATAATCTAACTTGATGTAAGAAGTCTCTGAGATCTGGATTCTAATTTTTTTTGCTATTAACAGCAATACTTTGTGGATAGGGTAGGATGTAGGATTATTATTATTTTAGTTTCATTGACATTTCATACATAGTCATTATTAGTTTATCATGGTGTTTATTATCTGGTGGAACAATGTAGGTCTCAGGACGGCGGAGCAGGTGGAGCCCAGGGGGCAGATGGAGTCAGACAACCTAACCCTCAACATCAAGCAGCTTCAAAAAGAGTTCAACAGACACAAGCCCAAGTTGATGAGGTACATAACACTAACGAACAATTTAAAACAGATATATTACCATAACACACACACAGATTTACATATAAATTGTACTCTGATTGAAATTGTGGATGATTGTGTGAAGTGACACTGATGAAAAAACTAAATTTATCATTAATGCTATTTGAAGTAGTAGTAATTCTAAAATTCTCAATTATCTTGAAATGAAAATAACAAAAAGTAATATACATTTGTGACACCTAATTCATGTAGTAAAAGAAGGAATACAATATTCTTGAAAATATATTGAGCTCAAAACATTAGTTGCAAAAAAAGTTTTAATTTTTAAAGTTATAAGGTTTTCATATACCAAATTTTAATCAAAAACCATGATCATGGTTTGCAATTTGTGGCATAACAAAGTTTTTTTCCAAATTTGTCTGTTGAAGATTTCAGCAGTAAAATATGTTGGTGTGCATTGAATGGATAAATCAGTTTTAAATAGGAGAGAGATTAATTATAAAAACATGGATTAAACTTTTATATTTAGGTTGAAAAAATATCGGTTAGTTCTATCCAAGTTATTTTTGTTAATGCAGGCAGGCTACTTAAAAGTATTTAAAAGTATTAATATTTTTACACTTTATAGAGGTATAGACTAGTAGTATTCAGTATGTATGAGCCTATCTTGAATAGTGCCTTATACTTAACCAAACCTATGTGGTAAAATTTTGTTTTCATTAATGTTTTAGTGTATTGCTAAATTATCTAATTACATAAAAATTCAAGCAAGTTTAAAGAAAAACTTTTTGTATTCACATATCAGGTCTTCCTTACCACTATATGTTCTGATACCTTAATCTACCATTAAAAATGCGTTTCTGACAACCTGCTCTTTGTCTCAAAAGTTGGGTAGTTAGTTATGGATATTTTGCTTTCTAAAATCTGACATAAGTAAAAAATGTGACTAAATTTACAAAGAAGTCAAAACAAGTTTTAATTTTACATAACAGAACAATTTTTATTTGTTTAACACAAATGCTTTTTCTTGTTAACACTAATTAAATATACAATCATATCTTTAGAAATCTAATACTTTTAAGGAACATGCATACATTGTCATACAAATGCTCCTTTGAAGATAAAAAATTTTCTTTTATATATATATATATCCTTCTGTTTTATGTAACGTTACCAATAAACTTGTGACATGACACAAACTATTACAAAAATGTATTTGTGATGTTAATTCTTAAGTTTATTTTATATTTTAAAAAGTACATATTTCTGAGTTCTGAGCTAGGTGTAGCATGTTTCAAATGCATTAAAATAAATTCACAGAAGCTTATCACATTGTTGTCAAAATTCATTGTTTCAGTTGCCATTCTGGTAATTAAATTTATTGGGAAATAGCATAAATAATAAATACTGTGAAATTACTTATAAGAAATCTTAAACTTAAGTGTACATATTGTTTTGTATACCTGTATATCTTCTACTTCCTTGTTCCAGTTTAGAAATCTCTGACAACTTCAATGTACAGGCATTGAAACATCAAAGGCACTGTTGCTGATTGTAGATTTTTTTTTTTTATGAGTGTTAAAATACTTCTCACAAATCTTAAAACACACAATTTTAAAATTTGTGTTAAAGGTTGGAATAAAAGCAAGGTCCTTATAATCTTGACAAAAAACTTCTGTTGAAGATGGTTTTCTCAAAAGAAAAATTTTCATAAGTTGTGCACTAACATGACTCAGTTACAAAACTTCACCCGAACCGGTTATCTAGATCTACCTTTAGCATATATGTCCAGGCTTCTTTGGGAGAGGGAACTGTAGCAGCATATATATAACAAGTGTTTTCTTCTGACTATCACTTTGGCTCATCATCATTGGCATACAGTGTTCTCTTTTGAAAAGCATAGCTTTCTTTCAGCTTATCTTTGTTGACAGCAGTTTTGCAGCATGTGGTTTTGGTTTCAGTGGAAACCTTGACTTTGCATTTGCAGTCCCTCAGAACAGGCAGTTGGGTTTCCTATAAAAAAAAAAAAACATTTAGAGGGCTAAGAAAAATATCTCAGTTGGGGGGGGGGGATGTTGTTGGAATGGCAAGTTGGCTAAGACAGACTTTTTTTTTCTTTTGCCTTACATTAAAGTTGAGAGATAACATTCGGCAAACATTGTATTGAAAAATGCTAATATTTAAATTTTTGTGTAACTTATAATTTTGATATTGTTTTCTCAATGCTAAAACTATAACAACATGCTTTATATTATACAAGTTAAACTTTTTAATTTGTAAAAAAATTTAGTAATATTTCACTTGATTGAATTTTAACATAGAATGCATTGTAAGAAGTATTTATTTTACTTAAATTCAACTTAAGGTCCATAAAGCTAAATGTAAAACTATCCATATTCTATCACACCGCTAATATTACTGATATTTTCATGTATTTGTAGATTTTTTATGTAATTTAGAGGCTTACATGTTTTACTGACTTTGAGAAAAGAGCTTGGCTACATCTGCTTCCTCATACAATATACATTTCTTTATTACCTGAGCTTTTCTTGACTCAAGAAAGAAATACTCATGATTCTGACTACAGTTGTACTCTACGATTACTGTTAATTGTTATAAAACCTTTACACCTGGAGAATGATAGATGTTTTCATTTTATAAGTTATTTATTGATTTCATTAGCCATAGTGTATGTTTAATAAGCAATTACTAAGCAGTATAAAGTATAATTTCCAATGAGGCCTACACTTCACTTGGATAAATATTTCATATTTAAGATGTTATGGCATCTTGATAAGTATTATGCTGTTTACTCTTCCCAATTAATGGTTATTAAAGTCATTTTAAAAAGGTTTTATCATATCATAAGAATTAGGAATGGTGTTGGAAAAATGATACCCAGTTTATGAAAAATTATGTGAAAAATAGTTAGAGATCAGTTTTTAACTAATTAGCTTGAACAGTTGTAGTTTCAGTAGTGTTGCTATCCTAGGTGGTGGGTATAATGCGTGTGAATGTAGAGAAGGTACTGGAACGTGACCAGAAGCTTTCAGAACTGGATGATCGAGCAGGTGAGAAGCTTACAAGTCAGGCTGTGGTATGGTAGTGTAACAAAAAAAACCAGGCTTTATGAATGTGGTTCAGATTAAAATAGTAACGTTTGAGCATAAAATAAACATCTTAATTGATTAAGTGGTAAAGATTTTAAAAACTAGAAATTTAGTTGTTGTTTTTTTTTACTTCCTGTCTGTATTTTCCAATTGTGTAACAGTTTCTAGAATTAAAATTTGATTTATTTATTTAATCATTCAAAGTATGATTTATGTAATATAGCTTAATTGAATAGATTTGTTTTTATACTTATGTATTTTTTTAAACATTATTTTTTGTTATAGAATTTCATCTTATTTTGTATGTCACGTTCTGTGTTATTGTATAATTTTGAATATGATTTTAGTTTTGGTTACTTATTTTTAGAAACCTGAGTGTCACTTTCTTTTGGAAACCTGACATTTTTTTTTGGTTGTTTTACCTAAAAAATTGTGGAAGCATGAGTAAGAACTATTTGTAAACAAATTCTAGAATATGCACATGATTAAGCTACTTTATATACCAGTGTAGTATTTTTATATTTGAACTGTTAGGTGTTTGAATGATTATAAAATGTGTTGTAGAATTGTGAGAAGGTTTACTGCTAAGCAGTGGCTTGCTAAATAAATATATTGTCAGAAACAAAATGTTTATGAACAGTTATTTTGTTCATAAATTCATCTATTTTATGAATATTTTTCTTCTCAAAACACTAGAACTGTAGGAAATATATATTTTGGTGATTTCATATATATATGATGTTGTATTTTTATTTATCAGTCCTGCTCATTCGTGTGGTTATGCTTATATTTTATTACCACACTAATAGAATATTTACATATTTTTTCTTTACCTTAGCAAAATAGTTCTTGCAGCTGAAAGTAAAGTAATTTTGTGTAACTGATGAATAACAGAGTAGTTGCACAGTGGCAGATTATCTGTGACAGTCATGAAGAAGATACAATATCTGTATCTTAAAAGGGTGCTAGAGATGTAATGGATAACATTTAGAATGAATACCAAAAATTTAACCAAGCTGAATAACCAAATTTTCAGACACAGAATAGGTGATATATTTATTTAAATAAACATTTTCATTAGTTTCATAGGACACTAAAAGCTGCAGGACATACACGTAATTTCAAAAATAAATAAATATTGAAAAAAGGTAAATTATAGACTGAGTAGGATGCAATAACAATACTTTAACAATGGTTCATATAAACATTTCTTGTGAATAGTCATATTGTAGTTGGCCATATCTAATGTCTATAACTGCCACTAACATTTTTATACAGTGGTAAAAGAGTTTGATGACGAGTCTGGTTTTATCTGGATATATAAAGTGTCCTTTAATGTATACAAGTTGTAACATGTCATATAATGTTTTAGCAGTAGTCAATAAACAAGACATTTAAAGATCTGTTAACTATAGTCTATTTGTGATACTAATTTTAGTGATGATTGCTATCAATGGCAGTAAGAATAATTCAGAATTAACCTTTGTATTTTATGATTATTATGAATCATTTAAAATGCAATTAAAGTGAAGTGCAAATTCTGTAGTATATTAATTTCAATTGGTGACACAGAGAGAGTTATTTCTACTACTTCAATGCACAATTGCTTTAAAAGCAAGTAAACTTAAGGCTACAAGAATTTGCAACAAACAGAAATCTAATTGATCTAGTATTGAACATGATAGTGTAATATTTAAAAAACAGATCATTCAGTAGTATAACCAACAGAAAAAACTCTGGGATGTTTATGATTGTCATACTAAAGAGTAGCATTGTGTAGTCAGTTCAATGATTGCATCAAATAGAGTAATGGCAACTAGATGGTGAATCTATTAATGGTTTGTACAAAATATCTCCGAAAATGCAAAAGAAAAGTGAGCTGGCAGTTAGTGGTATTTGCCAATGGATTAATTGATGGCCCCATTAATTGATTAGTATAGTATTCTTCAAACTATGGCATGTACAAGAAAAAAGGTTGACGTCAAGTGCTGACAGCCAGTTGCTTTCCCTATAGCCAGCAGTTCAAAATTAATGACAATGGCAGACAGCTTTAGAAGTTTCGCTGTAATAAATATAGGGTGAGGAAGTTTGATGGCAAAGGGAATTGACCCTGAGACCCTTGAAAAGTTGGAATAATCAAAAACAGTAATAATTAGAAATGCCATTTTCAATTAATCAATTAGTTTATGTGATGCTAATCGATGCAATAATTGATTACTTCCCAACTTAAACCCTTTGCCTTAAAATGTCCTATATTACTCCCCACAATTCAGCCAATTTGTTTGGTTGTCTTTAAAGTTTATCAGTTTTTAAATAAGCTTGTACAGTTTTAAGAATGTTCGTATTAGGGCTGTGTGTAGCTCAAGCCATAGTTTTGAGTGTTCCTTTGTATCAATATTGTTTCACCACATTTACTATAGGCTTGGGTTCATTGCAGTGCTGGAAGATGAATTTCTGCCTGTTGAGTTGTGTTCTTGAGGGAATTGAGTGATGGATGAGAATGTGCCTGCACTTGTTAACAGCCAGGATGCTATCAGTGTTGTATAGATAACCAACACCACATGTTGAATTGCAAACATTTACTAATTCTCCTCACCATTCTTCACTGTAGACATTGTCTCTGATACTGTTATTTTCTCTGCTGTGAAATGAACTGTTGTTAATTGTTGCAGAATGACTCAAACTTGGATCCATCTGTAAAAAAAAAACATCTCCAGTTTTGCTCATTCCACAATTTCTTACCTGATGCCCATTTCAACCTTTTTTTTTTTAGTTATATTTTCTCACTGGTAGTTTTTCAAACAGCTTCATGTACATTGAGACCTTTTCATGCAAATACATATTGTACTGTTCTCGCTGTACACTTGTTTTTACAGTAAAATCATTGCCTAAATCTATAGAGAGCTGTCATCTATCTTGTAAAGCTTATATCCTGAGATATTATGTATATGATTTTTTTAGTTATCTTTTACTTACCACAGTGAACCTGTATTTATAAAGAATTTGAAAGGAATATGCAGCATTGATTCCAGCTCTGTTACGCCAAATCTATCACTTGATTTGATTGGATGACAACTAATTGTAATGTTAATTTATCAACAGGTGACTGTACTTTGATACAATACATTTTCATGTGAGAAAGGAACAGCATTTTAATAACATTTGCCATTTATACTTCTTTTTTTTTTCCTGATACTGTATAAGAAAGATCTATGACCATAGTTAATGATCAAATTTCTAACGTTGGTATCATTTATCTAACGTCAGATTCATAGTCACCTCAACAACAAAAAAACATTTTTACTGGTTTCACAGAACATATGAATATACAACATGCTGTTCTTAAGTTGAAGCTTTTTCATTAGTTATGCAATTGAGAATATGTTGGAAGACCTAATAAAAGTTAATGGAGAAAATATAAAGTTTCTAATGATGCTGGATTGAAGCTTTTTTCGTTAGTGATGCAATTGAGAATATGTTGAAAGACCTAATAAATATATGGGAAATAGAAAATAAAAAATATCCACATCCTAAAAAGAGTTAATGAAGAAAATATGAAATGTTCTAATGATGTTGGATTGTCAAGTGAATCATTTTTCCTTCACATATTACAAAAACTTGTGTCCATAAATTTTCTGAAATTTCATGAGCTGTAATTGATCTCGTAACATTCAGTTGAAAGATTGTTACTAGTTTTAATCGTTAATTTTTTTCTATGTTCAGAATTAATGGTTGTACAAACTGGTTTAAATATGCCTCGGTAAAAATTTATTCAAGATATACAGACAAGATGGAATTAAAACATCCTTGAAAGGATTTTGGAACAAGAGAAAGCAATATGTCTTGATGTAATTGACATCAACAACCTCAGTAATAACCAATGTCCCATATTGGAGGGATATTTGAAGAAGTTATTCCAACTGTGGGTACTCTTCATTGCTATCTGTTAAAAGATAGTGCAAGCCACTTTGGACAAAGAACAATTAAATCATTCTTGAGAGAAAGGCTTGAACCTGTGCCTATTCTTTATTGTTATGTGTCGAAGGATAATACAACATACTTTGGACTAGGACAATAAAAACATTTTTGTGTGAAAAGCTTAAAATAGATTTCATGAAATACAAAGAAGTCCTAATTTCACCTTATTTATTTTGGTGGTTCCTTGCTTTGAATTAGCATTTTTAAAAGGGCAATAGAATTAAGAAGTGAAGACAAGTAAAATATTGACATTCCCAATTTCACAATCAATTATAATTGAATGTAGAAATTATGGAAGTTATATAAAACCATTAACAGCACCACTTTTTAAAAGTTGATGGCAGAAGACACCTGACATGTTCTTGGTGATCTGCCTTCTGATCAGTGTATGATCAGTGTATTTGAAATATTTAAACTATATCTGAGGATATTTGTGAAATTGATGATATAAGTTGTGCCTCGACTACTACTATATCTGTATTAACCCAGCCAGCCTAATGAGTTCTAGTATTGGGTGAAAGGCCTCATTGGTACTGGATACATCAGATGTAGTGTTGTGGACATATTTTTGCTTATTTGCTTTCACTCATAATTTCTTAGATAAATAGATCCTTATCACTATAGACAATAGTTTTAAGTAAATTCTGAAGCTTTCATTTGGAATTATGTTCAATGACATTCTTAGAGATAGTATAAAGTTATGCAATATTTGCTGTAGATTTTATACATTTTTTTCAAGTTTTGTTAATCACATTGTATTAATTCTAGTAATGAAAACAGATTTTGTTTGTTTTGTGGTTGTTGTAGAAGATTAACATTTTACAGCATCATCAGTTGTATAAAGGAATTTCTTTCCTTTCAACCTAACTTAGAATCTGTTAATTGTTATGTACAGCATTTACTTCTTTATTTTCTTCTTTATATTACGAAAGTTGCTGATTTTATTCTGTGTGAAATCATCAATTTCCAATATAAGGTGAACA